ATAACCTGCTCCTACTCCTGTGATCGGAGAAGAGAGGTTCCGCACAGCACAAAGGTGATTTGAGTCTGAAGGAAGGGGTCAAATGCCATTACAGTGGGTACATGAAAAGATTGTTTTGTTCACCACCCGAATTTCGGACAAGACCACGCAATGGGACCCGCCGCACCAAAAAAATTGCTCTGGGCGGAGGGGAGGTTCTGTGGGGGATATTTTCAAAAAATCATAACTTTTTGCCCCGGGATCGGATTTTCATTAAAAAAGCGTTGGATAGCTGACGAGCTGAATTTTTTTCTGCAATTTTTGTTTATTTGTTTTGGAAACGAGGCACAAAGATAATGTTATTCTTAGACGAAAATCAACCCTTTCCCCCGAACTAAATTTATAATTTCTCGAACAGCCTGGGTTATTCAACAAAAACCCAAGATATTCGTCCCCCCGTTTTCCAAAAAACAAGGCAAAAATCGCAGAAAAAACTTCAGCTCGTCAGCCATCCAACGCAATTTATTTTATGAAAATCCGATCCCGGGGCAAAAAGTTATGATTTCTTGAAAATATCCCCCACAGAACCTCCCCTCCGCCCAGAGCAATTTTTTTGGTGCGGCGGGCCCCATTGCAAGTGGTCTGGGCAACCTGTTGAGGCCTTTCGCGCCGCGTCTGTGTAGGGTAAAGACATGCCCGAAAGAAAAAGAACGTTGGTTGATGATCATCCTGTGCATGGGCCCTGCCCAGCTTTTCCGTCAATCGGAAAGAAAGATATTGTAAGTGGTCGTGCCCTGTCACGAGCGGTCTCTGCACACCAATTTTCGAGTACACGGTACATACCCACTTTTGTCTTATACGAAGTAGAAATGGAGTATGAAACATCAACAACATGCAAACAGCCCCCGCTGTCACATCCCAAAACATGCACAAAGTATGCATATACATACTTGTGGATGACCAATACTCCTATGTAGGAAGCAGACGGTAACGAAAGTACGACCGGTCCTCCCCCTATTCGTTACCCTACAGTAGTTTTATTTATTTTCTACATGAGAGGCGCCCTTTGCCGTAGTTTGCTTGTGACCACAGAATGAAGTTGGGTGTACGGGCGATAGGACGGACGTACATAAGCGGAGACCGGAACGGACTGAACGCAACCCCAACAACCTGCCACGTGCTTCGGGCCGCAGACGCGCGCTGACATGTTCCGTGTTCTCTTTATTTGCATGTGTGATGTATGGTATGTGGGACATCACCAACGACGCGGAGCAGAACAGAGAATTCCGAGTTCCGAGTTCGTTCCCTGTTCACTGTTCCCTGTTTGTCGACGTTTTACAATACTGTAAAGAAGACACCCTTGCAAGAGGTAATTAGAAACCTGCATATTACTACCACCTGCCTACACCCCCGCCCACCTCTCACCATCAGCCGCACTTCCTCTGATCCGTCGTTCGAGCTCCCCACAAGGTCAGTCAGCCCAAACAGTCGGCTCATCGCGAGGAACCTTGAGGGGCCAGGTCGGGTCTGCCTCTGTATCACCGCCCGAGCAGGATCGCGTCACCCCATGAGGCACATGGGTAACTGGTATGGTCATACATGATTCATTGCCCTCACTCTTTGTGTTGGTATCACGAACCAATCTCCCACACCACACTGTGGGAGTTAATCCGCGGGCAGTCCATGCGCTGCCTATGCGCACGCAAGTCGTGGACTGCTCATGGGAAGTTCATGAACTGCCCCATGGGAACTTCATGGACTGCCCATGGAATGTCCATGAGCTGCCCCGAACGTGTGTGTGGAGGCCAACAGCAGCAGCATAGCGGCGCCCTCCTTTGTTTGGAGCAAATTAATATTGACTGTAGACCAGTAGATTGGGAGGGACAGCAGTAGAGTAGATAAGGGTGACGGCCCAAATGTTGAATACCTCGCAGTACAATAACCTTATCTGCGATCCTGTGCGATGTTGAGATGGAATAAATTATTAAAGGCGATGACCTCGCGATGAAGGAGCTTGTTGTGTGTACCACACGTGGTTATTCTGGGAAAAAATTCACGCAACATGCAGTTCTTGTGCTGCACATGTGGTCCAGGGTAGATGCGTAAATTCTTCAGTCCAATTGTTTCCGCTGATGCCGTTCATATATCCACAGTCAGGCGTTCTTCAATTATTACAGATTTCTTCATTCACGCATACTCCGCAATGAGAGTCAGTGCTGCACGGCTGAAAAAAAGAAAAGGCGGAGGAACAAAAACTATCGGCTTACAACACAGAAGAGAAGCGCGACAGGCGTAAATCCACCCAAGGCTAAAAGCTCACAGCAGTGGACTATTCCAACAGCTATCTAGGGAACCAAGATTTCCAAATCCCGTCCACTGTAGGCTTCAAACTTGGCGGCGCAACCCGCAGCCCCTACCCCAATAATAATGTGCCATCGTGTCTGCGCGGCGCATCCACACCGCCAAAAGTAAGCACGAAAACGCGCCCACCACGTAATCAATCGACGCGAAAATTTGAGGGAAGACGGACTGAGCGCCCCAGATTATATTGCAGTAGAATTCAACTTGATTAGTGGAGAGGGTCGAGAGGTAGGTAAGCATGAAGTTGAAAACTTGCGTTCTTCGCATACAGGCACCGCGCTTATGCCCTGCCGCGATGCCGGCTACACCTAGTATTGATCATCATAATAGCTCTGTTGATCTTGTGGTTGTACAGCACTTGGAATTGTGCTGCAATACGAACTACAGGTGGAGTAGTCTTCAATGGCGCCTGCTAGGTTTGAACTGAAATTGCTGTTGGGGTGCCACCCTGTCCTGCTGCTGTTGTTGCACCTCACGCGCTTGTGCCTGTTGACTCGGGACCCTCACCCACCCCGCAGCACAACTAACTCCCCTAATTCGCGAAGAAAAAATACAAGCGTGGAGTAGCGACAGTGTCACGGCAGATAAACTAAGTTTGGTTGCTATTATAGTGAAGTCGTGCTATCTGATGTCGCACGCAGGCAACGGCCGGTCTGTCTAGACTTTAGTCTACTAAATAGCATCCGGTGTGTCGAAAACGCCAGGAAAAACTTACACACGAGCACTGCACGCAACCCCGGGGGGCCCGAGTTGCCCAAACCTATCTGCCCTTCTTGCCGCACAAGTTTATTTGCTCAGACTAGCTGCGCCAGAAAGCAAGCAACGTTGGGAGCTTGAGCTCGAAAACACTTCGACCCTCTCTCTGCGACAATAACACAAGCAAACAAGAGAGCGGGCAGCAGTCGCCTTCGCAGTTGATCGTCCACTTGGCTCTGGAAATCACAGCGTTCGCGCGGAGACGTCCGCAATCAATAGAGTCTACGAAGTGCGTAACATAACGTTCCGGAATATGCACAACTAGGGTATAGGCGGCCGCCCGCCGATAAGGCGGGACGGCCACCTGGGAGCAAAATCTTTGCCATTGTGTGATTAGCCGTGCATTTGCCGAGACGGACACGGTGGCCACGAATTAAGCGGAAGGTCGTAATTTTCACGTAATTTAAGTCCGGAACAATTACTTTGGCGAGATTTGTTCGCAACAAGTACTTTGGCCTCCGTAAAAAGAATGTCGGCACCATCGTACTTGGAATATGCGAAAATGACGTACGCTTAGAGGAGAAGCCAACATGAACGCGGAATATCGGAAACGCGCATGTAGTACTGTAAAATAATGTCCGGGTAACGGTCGGACCATGGTTCGGCCATGTTTCAGAACAAAATTACAACCTACCACTGCCAATAGACTACACACGCGTCTGTTGCTGCTGCCGAACTAGAATATCGCACATCATGTATGTGAGTATGTCTACTGCTGCTTGCTGGTACACACACCGATATTCGTGTGGTAAGACTGAAAACTACGTTATTGACGGTCCAACTTGCTCATTGTTGCCACCTTGAATGTTAGGTCCCGGCCATGTTTCAGAACATGCGCGAACTACTAACAACGGCATATATATCCTTGGTTGTTGCAAGTGTTGGTAAAAATGAAAGTAGAAAACAAAACAAAGAAAGAAATGAAAGTATTGGTAGGTCGAACATCCTCCTTTTCGCAGAATTGCGTACTCTCGATGTAGCGAGGGTTCGTCTTGCGGACGAAGAAGCATCCTTGACTGTTCGTTGTCTACGCGCTCCGTCTGTCCAATGACTCATGGTGTAATGTTGCGAAGGCAGCATAACTGAAGGTATGCGTGATGAAAGCAGCTTAATGTTGTTGGTTTGTCGATTTGGATGAGGTAGGTGGTGCGCGAAAAGCATGAACAATTGGGGCATATGCGCGGAGGGTTGTTGTGCGCAGAATAACTGTTATCGTTTCGGATTTTTTTTTGAGAAAAATTGTAAGTGTGTGATGATCTGATTGGTGATTCGAGTTGAAAGGCGATTCCGCTGCACAAGTTGCCACGATGACATACCGCTGGCGTGGTATACAGACACGTACCCATACGTGCGGATTAACTGTTTGTGCTGTAGGTATACAACACAGACACGTATCCATACGTGCGATGGCGGGATGTACAGATCCACGACGTACCATGGATGTGATATTTCTGCAGGATGTGATCTGTGATGCTGTACACCACTGTCATCATTATCTGTTGAACAAGCGTGGTAAAAGGTGCACTTTAACGCTGTTGTACCAATGTTGCCAACTTTTGTGGATTTTGACGCGCCGAAATCTTGTATTGGATTTGAACGGGCAAGAAAACAAAAAAAAAAAAAGGCCGAAAAAAGCTGAAAGCGCACTAAATCAAGATGTACACGTTCTAAGCTCGTCTGCTATGTAATTACATATGTAAATATTCGAATAGATTTTCAAGACTGACTGGTTGGTGCATTTTCGCTCCCGTGCTGGAGTGTCAAATGCCGTTCTTTGATTCGCTGTAACCGGCGGCTACCAGTGCGACGCCGAAGACGTTCCTTGTTCAATCTGTTCACGTCGTCCTCTCCCGAAACAAACGTGCAGCTCATCTTTTCGGTCATCATGGACACGGCGTAGGAGAATGTTGGAGATGCTCTTGATCCTGCTGCTGGGGCTCTCCGCGTTGTTGGATACCTCCGCAGGTGGGTGGGTGGGTGGGTGGGTGGGTTCGAGCGACATTGGGGAATACCATCGATGGTGTTGTCACCACGACGGTCAACTCCTCTCGGTGGTAAAAACCATGCCACAGCTCTCCAACTTTGTTCCGCGACACAGAGTAGTCCAAGGGCAGTATTTTGATCCAAACGCTGGTGGTACGTCCATCAATGCTTCGACCCCCTCCGTATGCAGGTACACACCAAACATGTGGGGCTCATTCGCTTGCAAAGACAGGATTTACAGCAGGGTGGCGTGTGACTATGGTTTCTTCGAGTACATGCCGATCGCCGCGGTGGTTCAGTTGGTGATGGGGAAACCACAATCAATTGTGTGCGGCTCCACACCCCCTTGCAGTACCCCCCTGAAGAAGTTGTTGTTAATCGAGATTGTCCGATATTCTTGGAGAGGTGAAGGTTTGCTTCGTAGACCAATTTTGGTTGCCGCAGTGTCCTGGATCGGTGTGATAGACTTTGCGAATTGCGATATTTGTTCCTGTTGCGTAGGAGTCGATCTCACGCAGCAGAGTGTCTGGAATCGCGTGATATGTCCTTCCAGCCGTAATTTGGCGACTTCCAGACTCACATCGATATTCCCCTATTTAAACGGAACCTGTCGTCGAGCTCGACAGGCCCCTCGATTAGGAATTACGTTATTTGAAGGTTTCCACGTGTGTGAAAGGAGGTCTAGCGCATGGGGCGCGAAGCTTGTTCCTTTCGATATCCGATAAATGGGAAAAATACTATCGTTCGGAGAGATTATCAGCTCGACACCTACCCTGCCTGTGTTCGTATTTGACGTTCATCGGGACTTGCTCAATGCCTTGTTATATGCCTCGAACCGCCACGCCGGTATTCGTTGTAGAGGGTGCGGCCCATGATCGGCTGGATAAATTAGCGGTTCCCCTCATTTTTTACACGGAGACCCTGTCGCACCGGTACCAGGTTTACGAGCTCACTTTGTTTCGCGTGCCTCGTACTCGGGTATCTCTTTTCTGTCGTGGAGCATCCCAGTGCCGCGCCCTGGTCCACCGGTCGATTCGGCAATATGTACAAACTATATGTACATGTAAGATTTGGTCACTTTTCATGCCTCGGCGTTTTTTTCTCTCGCGTCAGCGAGTCTTCTATCGCGGTTCCTTCTCAGGGGCACGCAGGAGGCTCGTCGGTACATTAACGCCCGTGCCCGGAGCTCGGTAGGCCTCCGTGGCGCGTGTGGGTTGACGGCCAAAGTTGCGAAAACTGGCTCAAAACCCCGGGGACGCGTTCCGCGCTGAAAAAGCCTGGCGAACCAATTCTGAAACCTATCGAACCCATCAAACACGACGGTTTGAAATATTTGCCTCTTGCCTCTCCACTCTCATTTCGTTCTTTAATTCGTTCATTCGATGATTCATGGCTGGCTGTGGCTCTTCGTGTCATCGCGTTGTCCAACAGCAGTACCTACGTTTACTACACTTCGCAGCGGGCCAAGTGTAGACAAGTCTGAGAGCATGCATTCAGCCGCAGTGTTGAACATGTCCCATTTGTGGTGTTGTTTCGGCTTCAAATTTGGGTCTCATCGGAAATCTGCCATTATCAATCAAAGACGTCATGGAAGTCTGAGTTTTCGCTGCTAAAATATTGTCCGCTCGAGCTGGCTCCAATGTAAAATAACAACGTGCGCGATGTTTTGTGCGGAAATACAAGCGTTGTAAAGCACACAGTCCCTCTTCGGGCAATGCGCATGTGGCCTTGCGTCACCTGAGGGAGGGTAGACACCCACGTCCCGAAGGGAGACCTTGTAAAGTATAATATTTGGTCACTTTTCGTGCCTCGGCTTTTCTTTCTCTCGCGGCAACGAGTCTTTTCTCGCGATTCCTTCTCAGGGGCACGCAGGAGGCTCGTCGGTACATTAACGCTCGTGCCTGGAGCTCGGCAGGCCCCCGTGGCGCATGTGGTTGACGCCCAAAGCCGCGAAAACTGGCTCAATAGCCAGGGGTTGCTTTCCGCGACGGCAAAGCCTGGCGAACCAATTCTGAAACCTCTCTGTTACATAACACATTCTGGGAGATATTCCCCCGTAGGTTTTGACATGGGTACCACAGCACCATCAACAACGAACTCCGATTTTTGCCGAATGGCTGTGGGCCATGACACGGATACCAAAGCAGCATCAACAACATACTTTCTACTTCCTGCTGTACCCCTACTGCTGTACTGCCGCGTGCAACAGATGTGTTCCTCCCAAATCACAGCTAGCTCTCACCGTGAGAGCAGCCTGCACCCTCTCAATCTCTCTATCAACCTATGCCATACATCAATGACTCGCCAAATCCGCGCCGACGCCGCCAGCTCCGCTGACAAAAGTCATCGTCCTCTACCGGTGGATTCTCTCTACGGGAAGGTCTCCACCGGCTGCTTCCACACCCGCCGGTGCCGCCCCATCTACCTCGCCGCACGCAAGCGGTGCCGGAACAACGGAATTTGAAGACCTCATCGAAAAAGTCTACCCCGACCTCTTAGAAGCTAACCACAAAACATCTACAACGATCGTGGCATTCTAGCACCCACAAATGGCGACATTGACCAGATCAATGACTTCATCCTTTGTAAAATGCTAGGAAGTGTTGACGAAGAACTTAGTCTAGTTCAGACAACCAGATCATCAAAGACGACCAAAACATGCCAGATATTGTTTCCCTCGAATACCTCAATAGCATTAACGTCCCCGGCACGCCACCGCACAAATTCAACCTCAAATTTGGAGCATTGATCTTCTTCATCAGGAACATTAACTTTGATTGCGGTCCCGTCAATGGAAACGGGGAGAGGGGGTTAATCGAGGGATAGTTCAAGGCAGCCGCATTATTGACGTTCAAGAAGTTCTCTCCAACAATGAATCCCCTATCATCGTAAAAATAACACGTATCGCTTCGACGTCAAGGTGGGAGCGCGCGGTAATACCTTTCACCATTACCAATTCCCTCTCAGATTGTGTTACGCTATGTATGACCATCAGCAAGTCTCAAGACCAACATGAAAAAAGTCCGACTCGGCCTCAGGGGATTGGTCTTCCGCCACGGTCAGTTGTACGGTGCCGTTAGCCGTACAACATGCAGGGATAATATCCTATGCCTCGTTCAACATCGATCATCTCGTCCACGACGTCCCCCACGTGCACAACGTCGTCTTCTTTGATTTTTTTGTTGCAGCCACTGGTCAATATCCCCCTACTTTTGACATTCAACTACATGTACCTCGTCACCATGGCCAAGGCGAAGGATGCAACAATGGCAACAGCACATCGCCCAATGATGGCGGCAGCGGTGGTGGTGCGGGCAACAACAACGGCAGCAACGCCAACAACAATAACCAAGAATCTTGACAAATTGTCAATGAAATCGGTGATGGGGCATGCCTTCTAAGACGCATTGCCCGTCGAGTCTTCAACGACCCCAACATGCACAAACTGGTCATAACGCAACTAACTCATCGACCACATGAACGTCAACCTCCACAACCCCTTACCAGGCTCTGGACAGAACACTTTTTACGACTCCATATTTGCTGGAATATGTTCAGAGAACATTCAAATAGCTGGTCAACCCGAACGACCCTACCAAAGTGTTCCGGAATGCCTCCATCTCATGTCTATGCTGCCATGTCTAGATTGCAGATGCCCGACAGTCGTACAACCTTAACATAAGAATCCCCCTCGTCGGCCAACCCTTTCCACCTCGTCCGTCCCATGATACATACATGCGATGTTTTTTACGGGGGCGACCACTACCGAACACTAAGATATAACTACCCATGACTTCTCACCTTCCTTTACTACTTGCGTCACCCCCCGGGGCGCCTGACACCCACGGCCCGAAGGGGAACCTTGTATACGTCACAATTCTGATACGGCAGCTCCACTAGCATGGACCATTCTGTGCCAATCTCACCATCCGCCCTCTCATCTCATCCCTACTGCCGTCTGTCCTGCGTCGCCGTCGGTTGCAGTTGATGGATGCCTGGATTCCGCCGACGCCGACAGATGTCAAAGTGATGCTGATGGACTTTTGTGAGCCCCCACCGAATAATATGTAATTGCTCCCCAAGACCCCAAATACGCTTGATGGTGGCTGACAAGGCACCCGTTGGTACTCGGCGTGGCTCGTTGCGGAACGATTGAGTTACCTTGCAGGTTGCAATTTTGCAATATATTGGCTAGAGCTCGCTGCACGATGGGCAGTGACGTTGATCGGGACACGGTGGGCAGTACTTTTAGTTCAAGGCATTTTGCGAGGTATTCATTCACACACATTCGCGCGCTTCCTGTGGAACAGAGCAAGACTTGCCCCGCCGTTTGGTGCGTGCGATCGTATCCCAGGGTCCTTAGTTCGTGCGGCATAACAGATGTCGATTTCGACGATATGGCCTCATGCTTGGAATCTGCCGGACCAGAAACAATTACACATCTGTGAGTGCATCAAATACGTAAACTTGAGCCGGTGAGTTTTTGCCAGAGGCTAGGCACAATTAACGTAGTGACCATTGCAAGGTGGTGTACTGATCGGCTTGAAGCGAGCGACAGAATCGAACTGCAAGGTATGTTATTATCACCTGAGCAACAACCACGACCCATCAACCGCACCCATGAACCATGAAGCCCCGACGAGCGCACCGGGAAGTAGCAGGTTGGAATTTTGGTGTAGAACAGATGGAGTGTGCCCCGAAGATCAGTGCTAGCCCTCGCACCGTAGTCTCGCAGCGCGTATCGCCTCTACCCCCCACTGCTGCACTGTCTCGAAGCTTAGGTTGAGATGACAGCCAAATATTCGAGTCGGAGAGACCAAATGTGCGTCCATTCGGGCATTTGCATGCACCTCCATCTTATGTAAGCAGTTGTTCAGGTGATCGAGAGATAGAGGCGATATTGGCGAGGTCAGAAAGGCGAATACACAAGCATCACATTTCGTAACGGGATAGGTTGTCCTTTGCTTGGCGGTAGACCTTTGACATGAAGGTTCCTTCACTGCCCTCATATTCTGACCTCTTTCCGATCCGCGGTACACGCAATGAAACCCTGGAACGGGCTCCGACGGCCAACTTGTCGCCTCGGCTCTAACGGGGATATGGCTTGATCGGTATGATCGTGCCCAGGGAATCACGCGGTGGCGTACGTGACTTTGCTTATGGCACAGAACGCCGTCTATGTGTGTTGGTGGGTTGGCCCCGCCTTGTAGGTCACGATGGGCGGCAGCAAGCAATGGTTCATCTATCACCGTTTGCTCTCTGCCCCGCTCGTGGCCTTCCCTCGGCATCCACAGGGATCTGACTTACAACGAGCTCACCACCCTGCCTGAGGGAATCTTCGGGGGTCTTACGGCCTTGGAATATCTGTGAGTAGCTGTTCGTCATGGTGGTCGGTAGGATGCCTTTCCGCATGGGATGATCCTGAGATCGAGAACACAAACACTACAGACCCATCGTGCTCATGAAACATCAAGCCCCAACGAGTGCGTCGGAAAGCAGTATGTAGGAATTTCGACGTCGAACACGTGGGGGTGCCCAAGACCACCTGCAACCTACGCACTGTAGTCTCGCTGCGGTTATCGCCTCTACCCCCCACTGCTTTGCTGTGTCGAACCTAACGTTCGGATAGCGGCCAAATACACGAGCTGGTCAACTTCAACTTGAGTGCACGTTCAGTCAGGCATTTACGATTGACATCCTTCCGGTGTAACCAGTTGTTGAGGTGATCGAGAGATAGAGACGATCTCGGCGTGGTTAGAAACGCGAAAATCCAAGCATTGCATTACGTCACGGGATAGATCCTTTCCTGGCATTGGCTGTAGACCTTTCACATGGTAGTGCCCTCACTGCCCTCATGTTCTGACCACTTTTCTGATCCTCGGTTTACGCAGTGCTACGCTGGAACGGGTTCCGATGGCCAACACGCCTCCTCAGCTCTAGCGGAAATATGGCATGGTTGTTATGGTCGTACCCAGGGAATCACGCGGCGGCGTGGAGTCCGCAAGTTTTGCAAACAACACCGAACGCCGTCTGTGTATGTTGGTGGTTTGGCCGCACCTTGTAGGTCACGATGAGCGGCAGCAAGCAGTGGTTCATCCATCACCGTTTGCTCTCTGCCCCGCTCGTGGCCTTCCCTCGGCATCCACAGGAATCTGACTTACAACGAGCTCACCACCTTGCCTGAGGGAATCTTCGGGGGTCTTACGGCCTTGGAAAGTCTGTAAGTAGATTTTTGTCGTGGTGGTCGGCAGGATGCCTTTCGGTATAGGGTCCTTCCAGATAGGGTGAGCCTGGGATGGAGAACATAAATACCACAGACCCATCGTGCTCATGAAACATCAAGTCACAACGACCACGTCGGAAAGCAGTAAGTAGGAATTTCGACGTCGAACAGGTGGGCCTGCCCAAGACCAGCTCCAACGTAGGCACTGTAGTCTAACGTAGGTCTAACGGGGATATGGCTTGATCGGTATGATCGTGCCCAGGGAATCACGCGGTGGCGTACGTGACTTTGCTTATGGCACAGAACGCCGTCTATGTGTGTTGGTGGGTTGGCCCCGCCTTGTAGATCACGATGGGCGGCAGCAAGCAATGGTTCATCTATCACCGTTTGCTCTCTGCCCCGCTCGTGGCCTTCCCTCGGCATCCACAGGGATCTGACTTACAACGAGCTCACCACCCTGCCTGAGGGAATCTTCGGGGGTCTTACGGCCTTGGAATATCTGTGAGTAGCTGTTCGTCATGGTGGTCGGTAGGATGCCTTTCCGCATGGGATGGTCCTGAGATCGAGAACACAAACACTACAGACCCATCGTGCTCATGAAACATCAAGCCCCAACGACCACGTCGGAAAGCAGTATGTAGGAATTTCGACGTCGAACACGTGGGGGTGCCCAAGACCACCTGCAACCTACGCACTGTAGTCTCGCTGCGGTTATCGCCTCTACCCCCCACTGCTTTGCTGTGTCGAACCTAACGTTCGGATAACGGCCAAATACACGAGCTGGTCAACTTCAACTTGAGTGCACGTTCAGTCAGGCATTTACGATTGACATCCTTCCGATGTAACCAGTTGTTGAGGTGATCGAGAGATAGAGACGATCTCGGCGTGGTTAGAAACGCGAAAATCCAAGCATTGCATTACGTCACGGGATAGATCCTTTCCTGGCATTGGCTGTAGACCTTTCACATGGTAGTGCCCTCACTGCCCTCATGTTCTGACCACTTTTCTGATCCTCGGTTTACGCAGTGCTACGCTGGAACGGGTTCCGATGGCCAACACGCCTCCTCAGCTCTAGCGGAAATATGGCATGGTTGTTATGGTCGTACCCAGGGAATCACGCGGCGGCGTGGAGTCCGCAAGTTTTGCAAACAACACCGAACGCCGTCTGTGTATGTTGGTGGTTTGGCCGCACCTTGTAGGTCACGATGAGCGGCAGCAAGCAGTGGTTCATCCGTCACTGTGTGTTCTTTGCCCCGCTCGTGGCCTACCCCCAAAATCCACAGGGAGCTGTCCTACAACGAGCTCACCACCTTGCCTGAGGGAATCTTCGGGGGTCTTACGGCCTTGGAACTTCTGTAAGTAGCTGTTTGTCGTGGTGGTCGGTAGGATGCCTTTCAGCATGGGGTGAGCCTGGGATGGAGAACATAAATACCACAGACCCATCGTGCCCATGAAACATCAAGCCACAACGACCACGTCGGAAAGAAGTATGTAGGAATTTCGACGTCGAACAGGTGGGCTTGCCCAAGACCAGCTCCAACGTAGGCACTGTAGTCTCGCTGCGGTTATCGCCTCTACCCCCCAGTACTTCGCTGTGTCGAAGCTTACGTGGGGACAGTTTTTCTGTCGATCACACCAGTTGGTCGATTTCGATCTGCATGTGCGTTCATTCGGCCAATTGGCTGGTACACCCATCGGATATAAGCGGTTGTTGAGGTGATCGAGAGCAGGAGGCGACCTCGCCGTGGCGAAGAACATGAGCACCCACGGATCGTATTCCGTAACGGGATAGATTGCTGTTCGCGGCGTTGGCGGTTGACCTGTTACATGTTGATGCCTTCACTGGCCTCGTATCCTAATCTCTCATCCGAGCCACGTTGTACGCAATGCAACCCTGGAACGGTTAACGACGGCCAACTCAGCAGCCCCATCTGTAGCGGGAAGACAACATGATTGGTATGATCATACCAAGGAATCACGCGGCGGCGTAAGGTACGTGGCTTTGCTACATAATAGCACAAAACGTCGTCTGTGCATGTTGTTGGACTGGCCTCGCCTTGCAGATCACCTTGGGCAGCAGCGGGCACTCACTTCCTAGGTTAATGTGTGTTCTCTGCTCCGCTCGTGGCCTTCCCTCGACACCCGAAGGCGCCTGTATTCCAACGAGCTCACCACTCTGCCTGAAGAAATCTTCGGAGGTCTTACGGCCTTGGAACGTCTGTAAGTAGCTGTTTGACTTGGTTGTCGGTAGGATTATTTTCCTCATAGGGTCACCCTGGGATAGAGAACGCACAAACCACAGACCAGTCGTTCCGCTAAACCATTAAGCCCAGCCACCGCGCCGGAAAGCAACTGGTAGAAATTTCGGTATAAAGCACATGTGGGGATGCCAAAGACCAGCTCCAACCTACGCACCGTACTCTCGCTGCGGTTATCGCCTCTACCCCCAGCAGCTTCACTATCTCGAAGTTTGCGCATGGATGGGTTTGACTGTGAATCCCGCGAGTCGGTCAATGTCGGTCGGCATGTGCGTTCGTCGACTATTTTGCGGGTATGTCCACCGGATGTAGGCAGTTGTTGGGGTGATCGACAGAAGGAGACGATCTCAGCATCGCTAGAAACGCGAGGATCCAAGCATCGCATTACGAATCGGGATAGATTGTCGTTTCCTGGCATTGGCGGGAGACCTTTTACGTGGTGATGCCCTCACTTGCCTCATATCATACTCTCTTATCAGATCCACGGTGTACGCAATACAACCCTGAAACGGTTTACCACGGCCAACTCAGTCGCCTCAGCTGTAGCGGGAAGAAGGCATGATTGGTATGATCGTAACTAGGGAATCACGCGGCGGCTTAGAGTCCGTGACTTTGCCAATAGCACGAAACGCTGTCTGTGCATGTTGGTGGGCTGGCCTTGCCTTGAAGATCACCATTTGCGGCAGCAAGCACTGATTCTCTCTCTTGTGTATTCCCTGCTCCGCTCGTGGCCTTCTTTCGACATCCGGAGGTCCCTGTCTAATAACGAGCTCACCACCCTGCCCGAGGGACTCTTCGGGGGTCTTACGGCCTTGGAATTGCTGTAAGTACCTGTTCGACACGTTTTCTTTACTGCTTTTAGTAAGCGAGAGAGCGGGCGTACGAGGATGTCGAACAAGTGTTTGAGGGATGCTGGGCAGTGCCATGGCGGTAGCAGTGACATGTACGGTAGACGTTGGCGGGGCTCGATACTTCTACACCAGCCGCCATTGCCCAGTAAGCCGTCAGAGGTGGCATTCAGTGCGCCCGTGAACGGAAACGGGCAATGTAGATCCTTTGGAGAACCCCCGAACCATGACAATCCGCTCTCCAAAGAATTCTCGCTGATACATCACAACTCGCTCGAACGCCCTACCTATTGGAGCGTCCGCGGGGTTCTTGTTCGAGTATTCGGCGGGCGACCAGACGTAACCGCCGTGGCAGACGTTCCTCGTGGAGATATGTAAGCGTGCTTCCATTAACTGGGGCAGAGCCGTGTTGGCATACCCGAAGCCCGAGGCAGAGTTGAGCCGGATAGCCCAAGGCACACGGGGCTCCGCAACTCCCTAGTCATTAGATTACGCGTGTACCAACCCCCACAAGGCTCCGTGTATCATACCGACCACCACGTACACCAAACACTCCTTTTTTGGATAAAGGTTAAGGTTTGCTCTCCCCCACTGGTGTTGGGGCAACACTGTTTTGGTGCTTTAGGCCATTTGTTACAAGGTATTTTTTTCAAGATCATTTTTGCACTCGAAAGCGACGACCCCGAAAAGGATCTACCATTATAATAGGATGGCCCGCTCCTTGCGGTGCTGGTCGATCCTTGTTTCACCGACAAAAAAAGAGAGACTCTGCAGCGGCCGGCCGTCACACATGCAGGTAGATTAACACCGATTTGGCTTTTCGGTGGTATCTCTGCATAGGGTGAAGAAGCAGCAACCGTAAGGCTATCCCCGCCAGCTGTGTTAATGGTCCGTCTTGTGTGGCGGCTGATAGAGACCACAGGGAGATAGGAGGCACGTAAACTGAGGTGGCGAAAGTCAACAGCACGCTGAAATATTGCCCACCGCGCCAGCAACCAGCTTGTTTTGCTGTCGCAACTTTTGTTCACCTATTATCCCTCGCCACCCACTGAAGCAACAGCAATGACAAAGGCATCCGCCAGGAGCCGCGTATGGTTCGTCTTGTGTGGTGGTTGATACAGACCTAGAGGCTAGTCGTCGCCCAGAAGTTGGGTTCGCAGAAGTTGACATCACACGAAAAATGACCAACCGCTGCTACGTCCAGGCTCTCTCGGCTTGTTCGCCGCTCATTTGCCTACACGTCGATTTGTCCACCTGGTCCAGCCGGATGAAAACAACAGTGGCTCGCCGATGACGCTACCGACTCTGTACCAGCCACATGACACAACTCATGTGACCACCGTTAGAGTGTGCGGGGATGAACTGTCGAGAGCTTCAAGTTTGTTGGGACGAGTCACGTGGTTGTGGCCAAAAAAGGACGACATTTTTTGGCAGCCCCGCCCTGTCCAAAAGTTCCGAAACGTAAGAAAAAGACAGGATGGCGTGTCCAATTATGGTTGTCCTTTTTTCTCGGAAAGGACACCGTAGGGAGGGGTTCTCTTGGCCAGTTTTTCTTCTTCTTGTGATAGAAAACTAAAAACTAAAAAAAAAGGAACTTAAGAAATGGCCTTATAAATATGACAATGTGCCATTATTGCCCGAAATGCCCTCTAACGTGTGTCAGGTAAATTGGACAAACAACATGAACACTCTGTGTTTTCTTTTCCTGGGACCGTTTACCCCCGTGGGCGCTATTTTGGTGTCCAAAGACACCGTTCTAATTTCGAGGAGGTGACAGGCTTTGTTTTCTCGTGACATGTATCTTCTTACTGCGAGGATACTTAATTACGTGATACTGCGCCATATAGGTCGCTACGTAAGCAGTGGTCTTGATCCATCATCGGTAAGTCCGAATCATAATTTGTCAGTTCATCACGCGGGGGGAAATATTATGTTGCTCTACTACAGCATTCGGACGTCGTCAGTGCATCAGTAAATGGTGATTCATGGCTAACTTGTTGCCTTGCTCCGCTGATGGCCTCCCATTGACACTCAAAGGTGGCTGCTGAACAACAGCCTCACCACGCTGCCGGACGGAATATTCCAGGGTCTCCCGGCCCTGACAACACTGTGAGTAGTGTTGATGTTTTTCCGCATGTGCTAAGCATACGCTAGCGAAAAGAAATCACCAGACGATTTCCCGGTTGCAGCATTGCAGTCAGTGTATTTGTTCACTGTTTTCTTTTCGAGAATATGGGTGTCGAACGAGTGGTCGGGAAATGCTGGGGAGAGTACCGTTGCACTACAAGCGCAACTGTCGAGTCGACGAGAGTTTGCTACTTTCAAGTCAGCCCCCTTGCTCTAACCTGGCGTCCAAGATGATGATATGCAGCGCACCTGGAACGGGTAGCTGATGCAGTTCGGACGCCCTTCGGTGCTGAAATGATTGATCATTGGCTCCGTTGATGAAGAATGGCCCTCTTACGTATGATCATGTAAAAATATTCAGACGGATACTGGTCGTCGTTGTCTGCCGTTTCACTTTAAAATAGGGTATCCTCAGTTTTTTTTTTCCTGTGGTAAAAGAAACAGTCCTGCGAAACATTCACGTTCAATCACGCGCAACCGCCAGAATAAAGGCCGACACATATCGCAACTGGTTGACAGCATAGAGCACAGACGCACAGCGGAAGTCGGCCGTACATGCAGACCTGCGGCAAACCAATCAGGGTTTAGCGCGTATGCATAGCGCGCAGGTAGATGTCTACAGCAGCAACAGCAGAACCCTTGGTATAGCACACAGCAGTCGCGACAGCAACGTATTTTGCGTATGCGGTTTTACGCATGATACAAGACAAAATATCGCGTATAGTCTAGACTATAATTTCTACACTACACAATACTAACCCTTCTTCGGTTTCTTCATCCCCATGGGGGGCACGTCATTTTTATTATTTAAATGCTATTTACGATATATACGACACCGGTATCGTAAATCATATTTACGATACGGAACAAAATGTTCCTACGGCTCTTCGCTGTCGCGCAAGCACTCGTTCGTCCCAAAGTGACCGGTGGTTGCCGAGGTATGGCCCAAAATCATGTCATGGCACAACCTCCGCGGTGTCGTAAATAAGCTTATTTACGACACCACGCGAAACCGTCCAAGAACACATCCAATACGTACAAACCGGATTGCATCAAGTTCCCAGGGCCCCCAGCTGTCGCACAAACCGTCATTTGGCCGAAACCAATATGTTGTTCCCGAGATACGCTTAAGAATGTGGCCGAGGCACCACGTCGGCGTCGGCGGACGAGAAAAGGAACGGAACCGAATACGTAATTCACCGTGGGGTCGTTCCTAAGGCGGGAAGTGGAGGTGGTATGTTTCAGCGTGAATCTTTTTCGCGTATGAATATGGCACAGGATACATCGAATATCCTTTATTTTTCTTTCGGCGCGTGCGTGTGCAAGGGTGTGTTAGTCGATTGCTCCAATTTCGAACGTGATTGCTCGCCTGATGTGAGGTACTACCTTTGATATGCGATGTTTCGTCGACCACCCGTCTCCGTGGTGACGTCTTGAACATCCGAAAGCAATACATGCTTCGCAACTCGACCGTACATCATCAAGTCGCAAAACGCTTCTCCCCGTTTCAGACTGCAAGCCTTTGAAAGGGAACTTGCACCTCCCGAACAGACAGGTATGCGTGTGCCACACGTAACCGCTGCAAACGTAAGTAGCATGAGCAGGAACATCTAGACTATACTACCTGAAAATGACCGGCCGTTAGTCAACGCGCAAAAGGCAACATGTAGGTCCACATGCACAGCGGCAGCCACAAGTATCTCGGTGACCTACATCCCGGTGTCACACCGACTCCCGACTCCGACACGCGTATCTCCCGTGTTCGATCGAATTGGAGGCACAACATCGCAGGGCGTCATTACACGAAACATGTTTCACTGTCAGCTTTGATGAGGCTTTCTTGTCGAGGGAACCGATGTGCATCTGGAGCCAAAACTCTGTCTTTTCGGCACTCCATTAGCACGACAGTCATGAACAATTGGATGTAAAAGTACTGCGAAGCCAACACGACAATCTAAAGTAAAATGGTACTATGTCGGTGAAATATGTGGACTACATGGAAACGGACCTGAAACGTTTCACTCCTTCCGTCCATGAAATTCGCAGCAGATATGTGACAGGCGAGTAAAACATCATCGGTCAACCCGCCTTGCGCACCCGCCCAATCGCGTTTCTCCGAAACGTTTGCACCGTCCGAAACAGTTTCCGGCCCGCCCGCTATTGCTGACGTTCCTCCACTGCGACGTTTCCGTCGCTGATGCCCTCCGGCGCGCTCGCCGGAGGAATTTTGGATTTCCACCCCCCACCCTCCTTCGACGCTTTTCTCGAGGAAACTAAGGGTTACGGGCTTCGCCCAACCTCGACGGCAAGTGAGGCTGACCCCTTGCGCCATCTGCGCCTTGTGTGACAGCTGGTGGGCCTGGGAACACAGTGCAGTTGTTTTTGTGCCTGTTGGAGTTTTTTCGGAAAGTTTTGCGCGGTGTCTTGTTCACGATACCGGCGAGATGGTGCTGCGACCACATTCTTGGGGCGTATCTCGGGAACCACATGTTGATTTCAGCCGAATAACTGCTTACGCACCAGCTGGTGGGCAGTGCAATTGGTTTTGTGCCCATGGGATGTGTTCTCGGAAAGGTTCGCGCGCTGTCGTTACTAGCACTTCTTTACTACACCGCCGACGCCGACGCCTCGGGCACACTCGGCGTATCTCGGGAACCACACATTGGTTTCGACCAAGTGACCGCGTGTGTGATACCAGGGGGGCCTGAGAACTTAATGCAATTCGGTTCGTGCCTATTTGAAGCGTTCTCGGACAGGTTCGCGCGGTGTCGAAAGTGGGCATATTTACGACACCGCGGAGGTGGTGCCGTCACACGATTTCGGGCCATGTCTCGGCAACCACCGGTCACTACGGGACGAGCGAGGGCTTGCGCGACAGCTGAGAGCCGTAGGAACATTTTGTGCGGTATCGTGAATATGATTTACGACACCGGTGTCGAAAATAGCATTACCGTTTGTATAACGTCCCGTCTTTCTTCGTCTCTCGGATCGTTTCTCTTCTTCCTAAAGTGCTGTACTGTACATCATGTTACAATCGTTGCTATCGGCAAAATACTTAACGAAACAATGTGAATGCAGGATTTTTTATCGGTGACACGCGTGTTCGTTGTATGGGACGAATGCTTTCAACACGAAGTTTGGATTACCTACGAAATGAATGGTGGAGAGGTCCCGAACCTATTAATCATTGACAGCATCGACCATAGCCGCGCAGCACACGTCGCCGTTTGATGTACTTGATCTCTATCACCTTTTGCCCCCCCCGCCCCCAGGGAGCGGGGGGGCGGATGCTTCAACCTAGATTGTGGTTTTCTCGACTTCATATTCTAGTCTCGTGCAGATACCGAATGGTCTATTTACAGTATTATCGCATCACAGTTTTGTTTCCGTGCTTTATTGGGAGATTCCGAGGCCAGAGTACTGTACTGGGAAAGCGGTTCACTGCGTGCTCCACGTGATACATAGCCCTCAGGCCTTCCTGTTACGGCAAGAGATCACACCCACTCTTGCGTGCTTTCCTTATCTCAGTACATATACTTGGTATATGTCCCCAACCTGCCGGTTCTCTGGTAGATCCTTCGCTGCGACAGTCAATGATGTGCACCTGCAAATTAAATCCAGGATATGTGGTCGAGTTTCACACTCGTCGGGAATCATTGTACATATATGTTGGCCCAAGGTAGCGGGCAAAAGCAGTCAGTTTCCCGACATGACCCGCGTTTTTAGTTAGGGTCTGACAAACTCTCTCAAGCCCCTCTGGTTTTACTGAAAGTTCTCCCTCTCCCTGGCGAGGTTCTAATATACTGAATCTCAGGATAAGTGTCGATTTCCACTCAGGCAAACCATGAGAGTATAGGAGCCTGGTATCGTCCTAACTTGTACTACCATTTTCGCTCTACCTCGACCCTCATCGGCGTGGTGCTGCGGTCATGATTTGTTGCTGTGTTTGGCGCGGCTCCCCACGAACATCTATTTACATCACCATGTTAACCTTGTAGTTCCTTTCACATCGTTTGATCCGTTGTTGCGTCTGCCGTTCTCCTCCGGTCTTGCGCCGGCGAATCTCTTTCGGGGCCTGAAATTTTAGGTGGCTGGACGGAAACTCTCTGGAGTGCTTGCCCTCAACAACACTGTGAGGAACGCTTAAAGTGCCTCGATCGAAGGCTATAAAATACTGAATTAAAAAACTTAGGACAGTATCACGTTTTTGGGGATCCGGCCAGCATCATGTAGATACCAAACAGCTCGCGATATCGGACGAATGCGTCTTACTGTAGCATTACTTCTCAAAATGTTGACCGAAAAGTGATTCGTAGAACATGAGAATCGTCGAGCCGCTTAAGCTATCGCGTTGGCCATATTATTCGGGACTACAACGAGTTTTGATAGCGCACGCGTGGGCTCTCAGCACGACTATTTATTCATTGCAGTCTTCGGTTGAATCTGCAGAAAGGAGAGTTTTCCCGGCATGTTCCCTCCTTGTGCTAGCCCATGGGGCATGTTAGTTGATGCATTGCATTGTAGATCGATATCGCCTTGATTGCTTACACTGTGTGGCGCATCCTGCTCACCTACTGTGTGCACTTCTCAGGGTGGAAGTTGATGACAGTGCCTCGTTTGACGAGCCCGGGCTCCACGTTGATGAACACGGTGACGAATGTGGTGAGTGGTTCCCCGACAAGGGTGTGCGCACCCGCCGGTACCATGTTGCTATGGCTGCCTCGCAGTCTGCCCCACGAAAAATTCGCGTCGATCGAGTCCCTCTTTCGATCCGGGTGTCCAGTAGCAGCTTGCGTGGGATTTGCTTCGTGCTCCACTACCCAATCGAGGCATCGCACAGCGGGTATTCGTGGTGAGCGGCACAGATGCCCAGCGAAACATCGTTCGGCGTCGCCCCGTGGTCCAGATATTGCACATCGATCACTCGCTCCCTCGTGCACTACGGATCGTCGTGAAGGGCCGACAGCTACCACGCCCAGACTACACCGTGAAGAGAAACGACGAAACAGTCGACGATGGGTCAGCAAATTGATTCTGTAAACAACACGCGGCTGTTCCGTACTATTTGGCGGCCCGTACTCCTGTGCCAACGTGTACAAGTATATCTTCAAACTTCTGGGCGAGATTGGTTCGAAGTTCACCATCGAGCGGGATGGATATTGTCCATAATTGTCCAAAAAAACAATCACTCGGGTGTCAACATTTGCGATGCACCCGTGCACCGATGTGCTTCGAACCTTTTCAGGGTGTTCTATTGAGGACGTGATCGACAACATGTGCGGCCAAGAAACATGCACTCCCGGAGATGAAGGGTACACCTGCGGTGAGAGAACACAGACCCGAAAAGCATACTCCGTAGTATGCTACCGTTCAGGTTCATGCTCTTCATCGAAGGGCGTGGGCAGTCGTCGAACTGGCACTGTCCAAGAACCGTAGATTCATCCCAACAAGTGCTTCTCGATGTTTAGGAAGAAGATGCGACCTTGATTTAGCATACCCAAGGTGGGCCAAGACGCCATCTGCTATGTATTCTGTTAAGGTTGGAGTTTAAGCTGATGATCTACCGAGGCGGTAAGCAGACATGCCTTGTCATCTTCTGTGTTGTACTCCTAACGATTACACCCAAACCAACTTGCCGGTAGGAATCCCATAGGTTGCTCTTTCGACCATTGTTTGTCTCCGGACCCATTCAGTACATGATAAGACTTCCTCAAGCACTATGCAGGTCCATAGGTGGAGTAATTACTCCTCCATCTGATCGAGTGCACGCGCTCATGCCGCCATGAAAGGCCGTCTGTCATTCCCTTGTTGACTGGGCTTTCTCCTGTTCCTCCGGTCCGAGGGATGCATATGCAGGGTCAAACATGGCTATCTGGTGAAACTCTCGCTTGTCCAACCCAAATACATCCCTCGATACCCGCAAACCTTGTTTCTCGCGGTAGCGGCCACATTTGCGCCTGTGCCTGCACCTGCACTGGGCACGGCCGCGCCGGAATCAGCCCCACAACCTACGCCGGTACCCGACTCGAGCCCAGAAGGTCGGGACTTGACGCCACATATTCCCTCCTACTGGAGTATGCCGTATGGTCAATAACAGGAGCTACACCGTCGAACATTGACAAATCTCCGGCTTTACTCCGAATATTCCCTTTTCAGTACCATCCGGAGAAATATTATTCCGCGCCCAAATCTTGCCGCCATAGTCATAGCCATGCTGTTGTATCCTGCAAATGTCGGCGCAAGAAGTCATGACCGCTGGTGAACGGATGGTCTCAGCTCCTCCTAGGGCTGTTTCCGGACCTCTGTTGCTTGTGCGCTTGCTACACGCCTTGTAAGCGTCATGGTATATCTTCCATCCTTCCCTTGTTGGCTTGGCTTTCCCGCTCCTTCCGCTGGAGGTGCGGCATGTAGGGTGATGCATGAGTAACTGGTGAAGCTGTCGCTTGTCCGACCCAAATACATCCTGCAATACCCGCAAACCTGGTACTCGCGGTAGCGGCGACACTTGTGCCTGTGGCTGCACCTACACTGGGCACGCCCGCGCCGGAATCTTCCCTACGACCTACGCCGGTATCCAGCTCGAGCCCAGAAGGTAAGCTTCTGAACATGTTGCCGCATCTTTCGTTCTACCGGGGCCTGCCGTATTGTCAATATCAGGAACTCCGCTTGAAATATTGACAAATCTCCGGCTTTGCTCCGTATATTCCGAGGTCAATACCATCCGGCGTGACATTTTCCCCCGCCAAATCCTGCCGAAATACCTCTAGCCATGCTGTTGTATCCTGCCAATGTCGGCGCAAGAAGTCATGACCGCTAGTGAACGGATGGTGTCAGCTCCTCCTAGGGCTGTTTTCGGACCTCTGTTGTTTGTGCGCTTGCTACACGCTGTGTAAGCGTCATGGTATATGTTGCAATAGATCCGAACGAAAGCGACTTAACCGATGTGCCGGCGAAACCCCTGCAGGTTGCATTTGCAACCGCTGTTTGAGTGTGATACTCCTTCCAACTGATCGAGTACACGCATCCATGCCACCATAAAAGACCGTCTGTCATCCTTCCCTTGTTGGCTTGGTTGCCGGCTTTTCCCGCTGGAGGTGCAGCATGTAGGGTGACGCATGAGTAACCGGTGGAGCTTTCGCTTGTCCAACCCAAATACATCCTGCAAATACCCGCACACCTTGTATCTTGCGGTAGCGGCGACACTTGTGCCTGTGGCTGCACCTGCATCGGGCACGCCCGCGCCGGAATCTTCCCTACGATCTACGCCGGTACCCAGCTCGAGCTCAGAAGGTAAGCTTCCGAACTTGTTGCCGCATCTCCCGTTCAACCGGGGCCTACTGTATTGTCGATAACAGGAGCTACGCCGTCGAACATTGACAACCCCCCCGCTTGCTCCGAATATTCCCAGTTCAGTACCATCCGGAGTGATACTATTCCGCACCCAAATCCTACCGCCCTCCTCAAAACTACGCCACAACCTACGCCGGTACCCACTTCGAATTCGAAAGTAAAAGACTGGATGCCGGATCTCCCGCACGACTGGGGCACGTCGTATTGTCAACAGGAACTACGCCGTCGAATATTGACAAACTCCCTGCTTTGCTCAAAACATTCTCAATTCAGTACCATCCGGATTGACATCATTCCGAACCCGAAACCTGCCGCCCTCCTCAAAGCTACGTTTTTTTCTGGGCTAGTGGTCATCGCCGCTAGTGGACGGGGGGTCTCAGCTTTCCCTAAACAGTGTTGTTTTCCGACCTCTGCTGCTTGTCTGTCCTCCACATCGCTGTAGGGTCATTGCCGTTTGTTCCTGTGTAATTAGTTTTCTTCATTTTGAAGAATTTTTCAAACGCGTGGTTGATATCTAGTCGATCGATTTTGGCGAAATCTAGCATTTTCCCCGACGATGTATTGCAGCGAATAGGAGGATAGTACACAGTGGTGGTGTCTCCCACATCGAGTACTATAATACTGCGATTGCGAAGTGCCGCCGGAAATTTCCCCAATTTCACCGTCCTCTCACGGGTTCCGTAAAGAGAACGGTTGCGTCGTGGAAGAGCACGAGGCGCTACGAGCTTGTCTTTGCGGACATCAACCCGTCTTGAAACCCCCATGAGGAATTGCATGTCTCTCGCTCGCGCTTTTTTGCGCCTCCTGTCTGTCGGTTGTTTTTCACTTGTGATTCAGTATTGACTGTATCAAGCCAATCCCTCGAGGGTCCCCTGGTCGGACTGCCGTGCGGTACACTTTCGTAGGATTCGACGCTCGCTTGTTCAATATTTTTGGTCTACCGAAATACCTGCGCTCAGCTTATGCCTACATCTAGGCAGGGTCAGACCGTGGCCTTAAAACGTTTCTGTGTAATGTTTGAGAGCTGGAGGCTGTCCACCTTCATGGCGGATAGGTGTTGTTTTCATTCGCGGAATACCTCTCGTTTTGCAGATACAATGAACCTCCGCTGTCGCCATCGACCCTCCAAAGTATCAAGTACTTGTTTTAGGGAGACGGGCGGTTGCACACACATATATAGTACACGCAGTCTTGTGTGTGATACGGCGATATGATAGCAAAGACTACCCATGAAATACTTCGGGTTGGTACGTCGAAATGCCGTTGTCCTGCTACCAGCCGTTGCCTATCGGAGCCCCGACTCCATGAACGCTCATGGCTGCTCGTCCGTCACTCGTCTGGTCAAAAAAGGCGCCTCAACGGTGGAAATTGTAGTCGGCGTTGTGGCCGGCGCCCTTGCGGTAGCAGCACTGGGGTTCTTCCTACGTCGTCGACGGGCCGCGAAGAGCACGGACCCCGACCCGCCGGCCCCTGCTTCATACGGTGCGGACAGCCTGGAGTATGGCCGGGTTGAACAGCACCAGCAACGGCAGAATGACATCCACTCCTCTTCGCCGATCATGGGCGATTCTACTGGAGGCAACGTTACCCGCGGCCTGCCGCCTCCTGCCCAGCAAAGCTCCCCGCCGCCACCCCCATCGTATGTACATAATGATGCACACCGGCACGATGCTCGGCCACCCGCCGCCAGTCAACATCACGCGGTTATCGCCGCTGAGAAAACATTCGGCGGAGATGACACGCCCGTCCAGTCGTTGTCCACAGCGCCGGCCATGGGTGCCCTGCCGAAGCCCAGCTCCGAGGGAAAATCCAAGTCCACACGCGACAACAGCGAAAGCGGTGGTGGCGCCAGGACGGCGGATGCGGGCCGGGGTGGGGGTGATGCGGCGGAAGACGGCAGCGGATGCGTGGCGGCAAGCACACAGTCGTTGCTATCGTTGACGACTAGGAACTCCGCCGCCGAAGTATCGACGGAAGAAGGGACCGCCGAGGTTGCTGAGTTCGGGCTTTCGGCGGACGCGGACGGCGCTCCTTCGGCGGCTGCTCTTCCTCCTGCTGCTGCTGCTGGCGGCCGACGACGGACGTCCAGCGGCGTCGGGTGCGGCCAGGCAGTACTGGCGGCGGCAGAGAAGCTCGCACATAGTTGCCAGATCCCCGGCATCAGTGAGGCAGCGACGGCGGTGTCGATTCTGATACGATTGGTCTTGGACAGTCGGGACTTGACGAGCAGCCCCGGGGTTAAACGGTGCCGGTCGATCGTAGTGATGCTTGAGCGGGCGTCAAAGGTGCTCGGCAATGTGAATGACCTGACTCGTGTTGTTGAAATGGGCACCTGCCTCTGTCATAGGTATCCTGCCTGATTTTGAGATGTCGAGGATGTTGGAGCTAGCCTTCTTCTTAGCGTACATACTGAAATTTCAGGTACAAGTACGATCAAAGATCTGTCACGCTGTGTCGTTCCGTTGTTCTTGAAGATCACGCACTTGTCTTCGCAACAATGATAAGTTGAGGCCTTTCTGCTTCATGATGTCGTTTTCTGTTGGTTTTCGTTTGAGGCGTAGAACCCCGAAACCTGCGGCTTGTGGCCCATGCAAAGATTCACCGTCTTTGTCCGGAACGCAAGCCTACATTTTCACCACGAGTTCAAAAGGTCGGCCCAATACCTGGTTTGTACTCGTACGCACTGGGCTTGAGCAGTTTTGTACTAGGTATATTGCAATGTTTTTCTTGCGCAAATTGTCAAAAGAAATCAATAACACATATTTTGATCAGGTTGCTATTCTTGTTCTCTTTTTATGGTTAGATTGGATTCATGGATTGCACAAAGGGTTCGTGCTACGCGTAGGAAGGCCTACTGTTGGTGGCTGATGCTTTAGTCGTTGAGTGATTGCTGAGGTGACGCCCACACGACCCGCACGGTTCTCCTCTCTGCTGCTGCGCGATGGCGGGGTGATGTGTGCGCAGGCAGGTACATTGATTTTTCCGTTGTGCAAACGTAACCGCTCGATAAGTCGTTGTACATACGGAGTACCTCGTATGCATGCTCCTACATATGTACATGTAGGGTGGCGACACGAGCACGGAGGAGGAGCGCGTTTTGATGGAAGAAGTGCACGACGCCGTCTCCGACCTCGTGGAGTTGATCAAAACTTACCAGAACAAGAGCAAAGTCGGCAAGGTGTTGACATCGACCCTGTTCAAGCGGCGCCAGGGCGAGCTGAACGCCGTCATAGACAGGGCCATCTGGGGCCTGCACGTGAGTGCCGTGTACCACGAAGTATGCCATCATAATCAGCATGGATGGCGCCCCGAGTGTGCAGTCAGCTGCGCTATAACATGCGGTGTTGTATCTCTGTGCACGTCGTTCATTGCTTCGTAATGTCGATGTTGGGTTTGGGGACTTTATTTTCCTGTTTCAGAAAAACAAGATTTTACCTTTGGCAACGCGGGGTACACCTAATTGGAAGCCCCGTAGAGGGGTCGGGCACGGGTGCAATCGGACGAACGTAGGGTGCTGCTCACGTCGACCGAACTCTACAGGCAGGTAGGACTCTATGGTGTTTCCTAACCGCCTGCATTTTCCCATGTTGGCTGCTTGGTGTCGTCCAGTTGGGCCTGCAGGTGCAGGTGGGACACGACGTTGCGCACCTTGTCAAGGTGAGGGCACACCACGGAGATGAAGCGAGCTCTATGCAGAATCGTTCGATTTCCAACACTCTTGCTGCTGTAGCCCGCAGCAGGTTGTGCCTTGGTGGTTTCTGCTAACCACGGGCCCAGCCAGGCTGTGTGCTCGGAGGCCCCCTGCAACACGATAGCCACGTACAGAACCCTATCGAGGACGCCCCGGTTCCACCGTCTTCACCGACTCTCCTGATCTTCTGACCGAATTCCTTCTGTGGTCCGGAGGGTACAGTCAAGCACCTTTGTAGGTGTTTTTTTTTTGTCATGTTCCCCTTGGTGATTTTTCGTTCGTCTCTTTATTCCAGAGGTCAACGGCGGAGGCTCAGACAGAATCTCTGGCGCAAGTCCGGGCTCAGGCAGAGTCTCTGGCGGAAGCCCGCAGGTCGAGGCGGCAGCGCAAGCTTGACCAGATCGAAATCCCCGAGGACCACGTGTCGATCACGGACGAGATGCTGGGAAAGGGGGGCTTTGGCGTGGTATACCTAGCCGACTACAACGGCCACAACGCGGCGGCCAAGGTGTGAGTATGCCATTCTGGACCTGTATGCCGACGAACCTGCGAGTGTAACCGCCGAACGAGCGAGTAGGGCCTGCCTGGGGGGCGGAAGGACCAACGCCCAACCACCTGCAGAGTCACTTTTCACGCCTTTTTCGTTTCCCGCTGTCGTTCTCTGTATCTCATTCGTTTTGGTGCTCTTCACCCACGGCCTCGGTATCGCTGATGATACAGGTACAACACTTCACCCACGGCCTCGGTAAGCCAGGAGAGAATGACATACCACTGAGTGGGCAAAGGTCGGTAGAGTCTAACGCACTGGGGGAGAAGGCAGAGCGCAAGGCATTCCTGCGCGAACTAGACGCCATGATTCGGCTGAGAAGTCCTCATATCGTTAACATCTACGGGGCGATCACCTCGCTGCCGGACCGCCTGATTCTGGTCATGGAACTGCTGGCGGGCGGTGACCTTCGGGCCATGCTGAAGAACTCTGAGCAGCCGCTTCCCAAGGATAAGTGCCGACAAATCATCCAGGATGTCTGCGTGGGGATGGCCTTCCTGCACGGCAAGGCGACGGTTCATGGCGACCTTAAGTCTGCCAATGTTCTTCTGGATGACCGCGGAAGGGCAAAGGCATGTTGGTGTCTGGCGGTTGTCTTGTGCTACATGTAGATCGTGTCGTGTTTCCGCCCTGGGTACGACCCTCGCTGTCAGTTGAAGCGTTACGGACGTACCCCCCGTCCCTTTCGCCTTGGCTCTGACGATTAACAGGTACCTCCTTTGCCTACCTCTGGCACCACAGGATGGCTCCCATGCAATTGTTTGTCGATGACAATTGTGTTAAGTTTGGCCAAAGTAAGAGCCAACTGTGCCCAACTCCTCACTTTTCCATGCATTCGAACATGAATTCCGGTGTCACAATAAGTAGTCTAATGGCCAAACCCATAATACCGCCCGCAAGATATCTAAACATAGTTCTGTATCCTGGTGGCTTCTCGTGGTCTCCCTCCAGATTGGGGACTTCGGCACCTCGAGGTGGGCTGAGAGATCCGCAGAAACTGTCACGAACAACACGAATCCGGGACCAAGCACCCACATCAGCTTTGCATGGACTGCCCCAGAGGTAAGGAGACGGCCTGGGTTGCTATCGTGTTCCCCGCTAGTCTTGTATGGTTGGTACCAAGAAGGCCGAGGTGCGGGGTATGAGCCTCTGTTGATCTGGAAGAGTACCGAACACGCCTGTGAAGTGAACGAACGCACGCGGTCTACTCATAGTGGTTGAGATGCGCCTCAGCTGGATTGCCGCACTGCTTGCAGATGTAAGATCATGTGATACATGCAGAAAAATCTAGACTGAACGGCGCTCTCCAAACTATCCGTAAAACGTTGCGCGACGTTGAACGTCTGGGCAAGACGGCAGGCAACCTGCATGAATGGATGTGGACTGAGATTTTGAAGTACACCAGAATATTTCAGGGTTTCGGAAGACGTGCATATTGTCAGCCAATGTGGGTACGTTCGCGTTGAGTTTGTTTGTGGAACTTTTTGGTCTTGGACGCTCGACGTCTCTGTCGCCTTGGACATCGTCCTCTGGTTGTCCTCCTTCTCCAACGGAGTAGTGGCGATCGTTGCCTCGTGTGGTGGAGAGGGGAACAAGAAACACGAACTTGTACCAACGGCTGTAGGTGCTGCCGCTGTCGCTCAAATTGTGGGACTCCCGCGAAATGTTGGTGTTGCTGTGCGTCCGTGCGCCATTATCCACAGGTCCATGCGCACTTGTAGATGGAAAAGTCACCTTTCTTGGCGTTGCCTCGTACCTAACCGGCTGTTGTGTACGTCACGACGGTTTGAGATATTTCGAACAGCTTTCACTACAAGATCAACCTGCGTCCAACAGGACTAAGACTACTCTATGAGAGACTTTTGCCACGCCCAAGTGCGAAACCACATGGCTCACGCCATGTGGACGTCTATGGTTGTGTACCTAAAGCAAAGCACGCATCACCGGAGGCATCTCGAACAACGGGTCGTGCTTCAAAGCAATTGGCAGTGCCTATGCGGTGTCAACATCGGCGGCACGAGCAGTGAGGGACGTTCCTGGGGCTACGTGTTGTACGTGGGCGGTGCTTGGTCCGACGGACATCAATCCGAAGTGGACCAATTGAGAAGTTCACGTTGCTGTTGTCTCGTTGATCGCGCTCCGGCGATCCAGCAATCCTAGCGGGAACAGGATATTACACAGCCTTGAACAGTAAAGGTGTAGGTGCATAAAATGTAAGTTGTAAATTGTGCTGTACGTGCGATCGAAGAGGCTCGTCTTCGGCGTTGGAATTGCGCGCCTGACATTGTTTTCTTCCTTCTGCGCGCGAGAAGGTGCTGGAGACCAAGGAAACCTCCAAGGCGGGCGACGTCTACAGCTTCGGGATGGTGGCATGGGAGGTGCTGACGAGACAGACACCTTGGGACCAAGCTCGGCCTCGAGACATTTACCTCGGTGTTGTCATGCGAGAGGAACGCCCCGCGATTCCCGCGGGTGCTCCCGTAGACATTGCAGAGATGGTGCGCAAATGCTGGGCCCAGGAGCCCAAGGACCGCCCGACGTTTCCAGTGCTGTGCAACAGGGGGAACGCCCACCGACGGCTTCAAGCACCAAAGCTCTTGATTTTGGGGAATGATTGAATAGCCTTGGGGATGGCCCCGGTACGTACCATGTGGGACGAAACACACCCAACAGATGATCTGTGGTACTGTTACTGATGTTTTCAGTATCCTGGAGGCTGTACATAAAGTAAGGGTTTGCTGCTGTCGGCACAGCGTCTAAGGTGGCGTTTAGGTTGTGTATAGGCGCCTCCTGTCACCGGCATCATTGGCTTCGCACTGTGCGGCCATCGTAGGCGCAACCTCTCTGGTTCCCGTGTGACCAATCGTAAAACCTAGGTGAATGCCGCGGTCTGTGGGAGAGCCGATGGTGCTGTACGTGGAAGACGGTGTGTCGATAGGAGAGGGTACCAGCTCCGAGCTCTAGGAGGCCACGACCTTGTAACACCGAAAGGAGCGTGCGCGATCGGCCGTCAATTTTAGCTGGTGGAGAAAGGGCGGCGAGGGAGGGGGTCCCCGCTGTAGCTCTCATTTTCCAGCACGTCCGACGGGCATCGCTTGAACAGCCCGAACGGGACCCCGGTTTCGCCGAGCGAGTGGTGGCAGGCATCAACCTCGACGGCTCGGGTGATGTAATGTCCGTGGGGACGACCTTGCGCCCTTGCAGCACATACATGCTTTTGTGCAGCTAGCCGTAGAGGAAGGGGGAGGGCGGGTACAGCCTACAGGGGAATCGAAAGGATGAACGGGGCGAAGATATGATCGGGAAGGGCCCTTTCACGGGACGCAGGGAAATGACAAGTAAATACGATGAGCACCCAACTGTTCGCTAACGATTAAAAAGAAACGCCTGCGGCCACCCCGTGTCTGTCCTCCCCGGTTCTTTTCGCGGCGACCCCATGCCCTTCGAGATCATCCCAGCCTTCTGCTGTAACAGCCAAAACGTTTCCGAAACAAACGCCCACGGGAAACAACGTGATCCCGGTTGGCCGGCTGTAGGGCAGCGCTTGGGGTACGTACTTGGTTTTCGTCCCCCCACACACTTTTGACATATGGTTTTGCTATTTGTTCTAGAGTCAAAACTGGTTTACTATAGCCTAGAGAGAATCGCACAATGAGCTGAGCGAGCGGTTTTTCTCGTGCATACTGAACATAAATTCAACGGACTCACGCAAGTCAACGAAACCGCTGTGGGGAATGCCGACAAAACGGCCCCGAAGAGGCGTGAATCAAGGTGTGTGATTAAAGGCGGAAGCAAGCGTCGTCAAGGATGGCCATGTAGCCAACTTCCAGTAGCCATGGAGGACAAATTATTTATCCCGGGTGAGTTGGTTGAGCGGCGGCCGAAACTCGGCGATGAGGCGCGGTTTGATGGACCGTCCCAACGTCAGCTCCATTGCCAAACGGGGATGCACAGGGCCTTCTGGGCTTCTGACACCCGACCGCTTAGAGATGCAACCCAGATATTCTAGAGAGAGGACCACGGCATAGATATGCGAAACCGGTGAATACTGAGAGGCCCCGTGTGTTACCGAAACAATCCCCGGAAAACGGTTGATATTGTACGAAAGGTAGGTTCGAAGACAACCCGCGGTAGGTAGTCGTCAAAGAGCAAGTCTTACAGAGTGATGATGCCATCTTGTAGGTCAGATGCGAGCGTGTCGCGACGCGGATGGCCCTGTTGGATAGCTGTTCTGCCGAACGCGACTATTTTCGCCGGTATTCCTGGTATGCGTTTACTCCCTTCGAACCCGGCACTGCAGTCCTGCACGTGGCATGGAAATAGACGTGATGTGCCAACCGTTGTGTTTCTAATAGCGTCCTGCAGGCTTGAGGAGAGACGCTAGCACAACAGACACCTCGGCTGTGTGCGCTCACTCAATATTCTCGACAAACAAGGGCGGCGGAGGTAGTAGCACTGGGTGCACCAATGCGAGACGACGATAAATACGCTCGAGCCACGCATCCGACTGAACCTGAACGTACGTAAACGTTATGGGTCCGCGTAGGCACAGCCAATATCGACAGTCTATAAGACGGTTGAGGACGACGATCAAGACGCTCAAGCCCCGATGCGACTAAAAATGAACACACGTACACGTTGATGGATCCGCGTAGTCTATAGGACGGTTGAGGATGAAAAGGACGTCCGGTGCATAGTACATATGGCACTGGTCGTTGTGACGATGGCACTTTCCGCGGTAGAGAGAATCAGCCCCGGACGTTGGTCAAGCGGCCACACCAAGGTCGGAATACGTGAGTACCGCATGGCTACCACGGAGCGAAGCGCAAGATCGACAGGGTATATCCGCGTGTATGTCTTTTGGAAAAATGTACTTGTCTGCAGTAGCATGCAGGCTTTGAAGCTCTTAGATACCGGCTCCGAATGGGCCCGGGAACAACGAAACCGCGGTGCAATCTAGAGCACAGGCTCGTCGTGTTGTTCTCGCTCAAACGTCGAAATGATGCTTTAAGAGTCCAAGCTGACCGTTGAGGAAAACATGACAGCTGCACAAGCAACGGCCAACGCAACTCCGAGCGTGTCCCCTGGTTGAATGCTGTCACTGCAACGGTGCTTCGGGGTCGCGAGCGGAATGTCTCGCATCATGTGTTAGGCGAATCAAAGTACAACCCCCAACAAGCAAGACCGAGGGAAGCACATTCCATTAAATAGCGTATAGACGTGAAGGCGGCGGGGTCGTCAACCCTTGCGCAAGGTAGCGAAGTGGTGGCAACGGAGATGTTTTCGCGACTGAACGTATGTAGTACGTTAAACAAGGGCGGAGACCCGGACCGACTAAGGGCGACAGCACGGAGGACACCGCCCAGACAGAAATGCCACTTTCGAGCCGGTTTGCTGCTTCCCGCACAAAATTGGCACCGCCCGTCCACGCGACTACTCAATGAGCTCGCGTGTGTGGGGATCAACGGATGGCCGCATGCAGAAATTCCATGATATGTATGAAACTTGGAATGACTACTCCTAGTACTCGTCCAGCATCAAGAATCAAGCAAGCCAGAGGGTGACCGCTCAAGGGGCAACCCCCATACATTACACACAGCTGCGGTTCAAATGGGTGGAGGTGCGATTCAATACAAGGAACGAAGCTGAAAATATGTGCAACTCATGCCATGGGAGCGGCGCGTAAATGGCAGAGGAGAACGAAGGAGCATCTGACCGGAGAAACATGGCCGCCTCCGAACAAACCCGTCGCGTCGCGGCACAGCTGTGCCGAGGGGCCATCGCCCTAACATCAACAAACTCGAACCGCCACCGTCCAAAAATTATGCAGTCCCCGGGATCCGGACGCTATCGTCATAGACAGGCAAGTATGCCGCGTTGCCCCCCGCGCTTACCGTGGTGGCAGAAAACGAAGGCGCAATCCGTGTGGTGGAGGCGGTGGTGGTTGTGATGGTGGGCGTCCCGGCCTAGTGTTCGAGCAGGTAGGTGTTGCAGGTCGTACCGTTCGCCACCGATGGAAAGATCTATCTTCTTGGTGGTTGCGTTTTCTTTTAGGATGTGTCGATTACCGCGGTGCAAGAGATCCTGAGAAAGAGGCGTTTTCATACCCTTGCCCTTCTTGCGCCACCTAGCCGTCGGCGCTGCCAGAGGGGTCACAACCGGCTGTGTCGCAGCAATAGCGCGTCAGAAGCAACCGAATGGTGCACCCGCGGGGGTGTACGGTACGAGGCAGGAGCCCGGGCCGTGGCGTGCAGCGGTCAACCCAGGGAGCTGGCCGAGAAGGCCCCGCGGCCGGTCGCCGATGGGAAAACTACCGGTACGGTCCGCCCGCCCCTATCTTGCGAATGCGACGGTCTTTAGAGTCTTCCGGTGCTGGACAACAAGCTGACTTTGCCGGGAAAATGTTAGCCGCAGATTGTTGTGGGCCAATTCGACGTGGACTTGTCAGGTAGCACGATGATCACTAGACTACAAGTGAGATGGCTAGTAGTCTAGCGGTCATCGTGCTTCTCAACAGACCTCACACCGACTGCGGCGTCTGCGCAGCCGGCGCCCCGGGGGGGCTCACCGGTTGCCATTGTAGTTCCATTTCGACTGCCCGGTGCGCTTGTGCGCACGACGTATGCCTTTCCGACCACGGGGACTCTGCTTTCGATCGGGTGCCCCTCCAGTGATGGCGGAGTATGCCGGGCAGCTTTCGGCGGAGTGCCGTCCACATGCCTCAAACCTTGGTCGAGCAGGCAGCAGTTCAATCCCGGATATGTAGTGTTTCAGACTTCCCATCCCGGCATCGTCCATTGGCCTCACGAAGACGGCTCCGTTAGCCCGCTCCGAGGAAGAGAAACAACAGAAAATTGATTCTTCCCCGTGGAAGGCCTCGAACTGCACTGACGATGGAACTTCTGTATATCGGGTAAACGCTTAGACTATGTTGCTTACTTTAGGAATGCATGAAAAGAGCCCACTTGTCTCCTTCGTTCCCGAAGCTTCAAGGTAACTCCAAGGCAGGAGCATTTCGAGGTATACCACGTACCGCGGCAGAGGGTGTGCCTTTCTGTTCATGTGTCAGCGTACGGCGGCGGGGGCTAGAACCTGGCCGGCCCGTTGTCGGCCGTTCGTACCCACTTGAGCAACAAGATATTCTACGAGAAGCTCATACTCGACGATGGCAAGTTGAACAGCTGCACCAACCAGGCGCTGACCTCAAGGTCACGCGCGCGGCCGCGGTTGAACGCCCCTCCCTACTGGCTAGTTGTTAGCGGCGATCCGCACTCGAGCACGACGCAAGGCGTCAGGGAACCTCAAACCTATCGTATCAAACCGCCGAATGAGGTGGAAGAGGGCGAACACCTCCTACTTGTTGATCATGAGCTTGGACAACCCACGCGGGAAGACTTCTTCCGCTCGTCAAGGTCCTTTGCCTCCCTCCCCTCCTCCCCGAAATCCTATGCAGGAGGCGTCGGAACCCGCTAGACAGTGCGGTGGGGGAACTGCTGTTAGCGCTCAACCCGTTGATGTTCGTACGCAAGACCCAGAGCCAGACGATTCACGGGTCACCTTTTCGGTCATTACCTGTATTTACAACTTGCACGCAGGGTGGGAGTTGCCCACGTCGCAATTTCAGATCCAGGGCGGATGACACGGGGCTCGAGTCACGGGCCTCACAGAACCCCGAGGAGTTACCTACAGAAATTATGGTTGTGGAGTACATACGGAGGGATGCATCATCGGTCATGCCTAATGGAGTAGTAAGTGATCTTTTTAGGCCAGAGGCCGAAAACAAAAGAAGAATACGGCAATCTAGGCAGGTTGGTAGTGGTTTTGCCAGATAAAGAAATATTGGGAGCAAGAAGGCGTTTTACGGGGGCTCGATTAGATCTAGTTGTTCAGGTCTTGGTTCATTATTTCCATTCCCTGCAGAAAAGCATCACATAATTCTTGATGGGCAAACATACGGATGCGGGGAAATAGAGTGTGCGTTAGCTTGCGCTTATATCACTTGATTGTAGGTTACCAGATGCGATATTTACTCGTATTCCGCTTTCAGGTGTTTCCTAAAAGTCAGAACACACTTGTAGGTGCCGCGAATATTCTTGGCGAAGCTTGCAAGAGACACACGGGAAAAGCGTGTCCACTACAAACTGAAAATGCACAAGCCTCCATGTCTCCAAACGAATAACCGGGGCGTGCGCGGCACAGAGGGAGGGGAAAGGAGGCGAGGAGGCACAACAACCAACTCCTCTCTCTACCGTCGGTTTTTTAATGGCAGTATATTTCTATTCCTTGCGAGACACGCTGCTTCCGGGTAGCAACCGCACACACGCGAGCGCGAAGATGCCCGCAATCTATAGTTTATATAACGTGTCAGGAATATGTATTCGAGCGAATCTTCAAGACTGACTAGTTGGTGCATCCACTCCTTCGCTGGAGTGTCGAAATTCGGTGCTTGGATTCGCTAAGGCCGGCGACTACAAGTACGACGCCGAAGACGTTCCTTGTTCAATCCGTCCACGCCGTCCTTTCCCGAAACGTTCAGCTCATCCTTTCTGTCATCATGGACACGGCTTAGGAGAATGTTGGAGATGCTCCTGATCCTGCTGCTGGGGCTTTCCGCGTTGTTGGGTACCTCCGCAGGTAGGTGGGTGGGTTCAAGCAACATTAGGCAACACCGTCGATGGGTGTAGTAGGTGTCATCACCACGGTCAACTCCTCTCGGTGGTCAAAACCATACCGCAGCTCTACAATTTTGTTCCGTGACACAGTAGGAGACCAGTGTTTTGATCAAAACGCTAGTTCGTAGACATCATTTCGATGCCTTGCGTAGGCAGGTAGACACCGAACAGGGGGGTTAATTCACTTGCAAGGACAGGATTTACAGTAAAGTGGCGTGTGATTACAGCAAGATTTTTCACCTCTTCGAAGTGAGTGGCCTATCACCCCGTTGGTTCAGTTGGTGAATGTGAAACCACAATCGGATGCGGCGCCGCACCCCCTTACAGTACCTCCCTGAAGAATTTGTTAACAAGAGCGACCGATTTTGTTGGAAAGGAAAAAGTTTGCTTCGTAGGTTAATATTGGTGACAGCAGGTTTGCTGGATCGGTGTGAAAGACATTGCGAATTGCGATATTTTTCACGTTTCGCAGAAGTCGATCTCAACGGGATAGATTGTCGTTTCCTGGCCCTGGCGGTAGACCTTTCGCGTGGTGGCGCAATCACTGGCCCCATATCCTAATCTCTTTTCCGATCCGCGGTGTACGCAATGCAATCCTGGAACGGGTCACGACGCCCAAAACTCAGTCGCCTCCGCTGTAGCGGGAAGAAGGCATGATTGGTATGATTGTACCCAGGTCATCGCGAGGCGGCGTGGAGTCCGTGACTTTGCTAATATCATAGCACAGAACGTCGTCTGTGCATGTTGTTGGGCTCGCCGCGCGTTGTAGATCACCATAGAGGGCGTGATCGATAACGTGTGCGCCCAAGAAACGTGCGCTCCCGGAGATGAAGGGTACACCTGTGGTAAGAGAGCATAAGCCCCAAAGCGTACTCCGTGTAAACTATCGTTCAGGTCCATCCTCTCCATCGAAGAGGCTACGAATTGACACTGACCCATTGTCTATAGGTTCATCCTGACAACAAGTGCTTCTCGATGTTTAGGAACAAGATGCGACCTTGATTTAGCATGCCCAGGTGCGCCGAGACGCCATCTGCCATGGATATTTTTCGTTTGTGGTTTCAGCTGATGGCCTACGAAGGCAGTGGGCAGACATGCATCATCATGTTCTATTACTAACTCCTAACGATTGCGCCCCGACTCTTGTGTGCCGGCAGGAATCGCATAGCTTGCACTTTCGACCACCGTTTGTCTCCCAACTCAATGAATACATTAAAAGGCCATTTTCAAGCACTGGTTTCAAAAAGTGGAGAAATTTTCTTCCGACTGATTGAGTGCACGCATCCATACGACCAAGGAAGGTGGTCTGTCGGTCTTCCCTTGTTGGCTTTCCCGCTCCTCCGGCTGGGGGTAGGATGAAAAGGATGAGTAACTGGTTAAGCTCTCGATTGTCCAACCCAAATATCCCCTTCAATACCCGCCTTCCTGGTATCTCGCGGCAGCCGCCACACTTGCGCCTATGCCTGCCCCTGCATCGGGCAGGGTCGCGCCGGAATCTGCCCAACAACCTACGCCGGCACCCGGTTCGAGCTCAGAAGGTAAGACAGCTCTCCTGTTCAACTAGGCATGCCGCACTGTAAAAACCAGAAACTGCGCCGTTGAATGTTAACATACCCCCGGCTTTTCTCCGAACATTCCCAGCTCACTACCATCCGGAGTGATTTTTTTCCGCACCCAAAACCCTCCACCCTCCTCAAGGCTACGTTATTCTATCCGGTATACCACGGGGCTAGTAGTCATCGCCGCTAGCGAACGAAGTGCCTCAGCTTCCCCTAGAGGGATTTCCCGACCTCTGGTGCTTGTGGTTTTGCTACACACTGTAGGGGTCATGGTCGTTTGTTTTTCTGTAGTTCTGTTGAAGGATCCGCCCCTGCCTCGTGGTTGATACCGAGTCGATCGGTTTCGACGAAATCTAGCATTCTCCCCGACAATGTACTTCAGGGGATAGAAGAATAGTACAGCGGTGGTGTCTCACGCCGATTACGCACACGATCGCGTAGTGTCGCCGCCAATTAGCGCCCGAAAGTGCCCTATTTGTTCTCAGCGTGTGAAATTGCTCGGCACTCCTGCTGTCTCGTACGGGGTACCATCTGCCTCTATCCCCTTTTCTCACACAATCCCCTGTCACCGCCCTCACACGGGTCGTACAGGGGGGTGACGGTTGCGCCTTGGAAGTGTACATGGCGTCGCAACGAGACAAGCTTGGTTGCCGACCTAAGCCCGTCATGAACCTCCTGTATGCCTATGCTCTTATTCACGCATTTTTCTGTCCACTTTTTCCGGGGGGGTTTCCCTTGCGATTCGGTGTCGGACTTTACTAGAACAACCCCTTCGTCGGGTCCCTCGTCGAGCTCTCGTGCGGTATACTCTTTCGCAGGATTCGACACTCGCTTGTTCAATATTTGTTTAGTCCACCTAAATGCCTGTGCCCAGCTTGGGCCCACATCATAGGCAGGTTCAGACCGTGGCCGCTATAGTTTCTGGGCAATGTTTGAGAACGGGAGGCTGTCCACCTTCGTCGTCATGCACGGAGTACCTCCAGTTTTGCCGATAGCCTGACCCTCCCCGGTTGACCCTCCCCGGTAACCGGGGAGGGTCGGTCTATGGTTGTCATCGACCCTCCAAAGTACCATGTATGTTTTTGGGAGTTGCACACACACATGTTGTACGTGTGGTCTTGCGCGATGCGACGGAAGCATCGCAATCCAAGCCCTAAAATACTTCGGATTGATACGTCGAAAAGTCGATGTCCTGCTACCACCCGTTGCCTGTCGGAGTTCCGCCTCCATCAACGCTCATCGCTGCAATTTCGCTGCTCGTCCGCACAACGAAGGCGCATCGATGCTGGGCGTTGTAGTCGGCGCTGTGACCGGCGCGCTGGCGGTAGCGGGACTCTACCTTTTCCTACGTCGCCGACGGGGCGCGAAGATCGCGGACCCCGACCCGCCGGCCCCTCCTTCCAAGGGTGGGGACAGCCTGGAGCACGGCCGGGGTGAACAATACCAGCAACGGCAGCAGGACATCCACTCCGATGGGGGATAACGTTACCCGCGACCCGACACCTGCTACCCAGAAGCACTCCCCGCCGCTGCCCCCGCCGTTTGCGGATGAGCCGCCTCCTGCCCAGCAAGAATCCCCGCTGCCGCCCCCACCGTATGCGCATGATGGTGCACACCAGCGTGATGCTCTGCCTCCGCCATCCCCAAACAGGCATGACGGCGGTACGCGACCACACCTCGGTCGATATGTTGCCTATTTAATGGTCTGTTGGAATGTCGATAGGCGAGGCGTGTCACCTATCGATAGGTATCGTTATTTGTCGGAGATGGAATAGACTGACTGATGTTTGTTGTACAGTAAATTTGAGAGTTTATCACATCATTGGTGGAAAACTGGGACTGTACATGTCGTTTCCCCCCCTAATTTCTCCAAAATTCTGGACATCAGAGAATGCGAGCACACGTGCACCAGTTTCGTAGGTCGTAGCGAGTGTGAGTGAGAGAGAGGACCTCGGAGTACGTGGACACGCCGAAGGATTGAGGAGCTGGCTAACAGAGAACAGGCGGCCACAAAAAATTAGTGTTTTTCATCTCATTAGGCTGGAGGCTGGGGACCAGGCGCGTAGCGCGAGTGGCTGAAGGAAGAAGCAGAACATCTGGGCGAGAGGCTCTTGCCCGGTGGTTGCAGGCAAGAAAGCGAACGCGACGGGCCGAGCGCGACATGCTTCGTGCCGAGACATGTATCCCTTCTTCCTGTGTTCGGCCTGAGGCATGCATAGCTGTAGCGAGGGGGGGGGGGGCTCGGGCAGCTATCGCGGCTGTGCCACAGCGCGAGAAACAGCCTAGTGTGAAAAGAGGGAATCGCCCTCGGCTGACGATGGGGAGATAGTCCCTTAATGCAGAAGGGGGTCTCCGCGCCCCCCCCCCCCGCTCTTTCGAGACCTCTTCTTGTTTGGTAGGCAAGAGAAGTCTTGTAGGAGAAATCGGAACCCGACCGGGTGGGGGCGAGCGATTCACTTCTTCACAATCCTCTGCGCGTAGTTACACGGGTTCGCTACGTCCGCCACATCAGTAGAAGTTCCGAGTCCGATAGCCAGAGCGTCCTTATTCTTGGCCCACCTACCGTGTTTCTTTTTGGACGTTTTCCGGAAGAAAATGTGGTGAGCAGCGGGATTTGAACCCTTGTATTTTTCAACCAAAAGCAGACACTCTGACATCTCTTCGTCGACGCCAATGAGAATATCCTTTCTCTGTTTTGCGAGGAAAGGTCACTGAATGAAGTGGTGAATATCCGTGCACCAGCGGACGTATTTCGCTCTTCTTGTTGCAATGTGGCGAGGAATTGCCAAGCGTGGCTGACTTTAGCCGGTCTGCTAGGTTTAACGGTGAGTGTGAGCCTCAGGGCCCGCTTTCACCCTCCCTGGTCACAGCAGACGGAGGGCCTTTTCTTTAAAAACATCTTCTGACCTCGGGAACATCGTTCGCAGGCACTCGGATCCTAACGGTTGTATTTACGCCAGTACCACTAGGAAGAACCTGTATCCTGGTTTCCACACTAGAGGGACAACAATAACAAAACCGGGGTCGTATGCAACACTAGGGGGAACGATTGGCCCCCCGCCCCCCAATGGAGCGGCCAGACTGCAAGGGAAGTGTTACCGTTTTGAAGGTTGAAAAAGAGCACAAAGAAGATTTCGGGGGTGTTCACGCAGCGGTTTTTTTCCACGGAGCGGAGCAGGACGCAGCGGTTTTGACCGCTCCGCTCCGCACCGTGAAATTTTTCCCTGAGGAAAAACCGCTCCGCTCCTCTGCGTGACAAAAAAACGAAAATCGCTCCGCTCCGTGAGAATTTCGCCCTCGGATAAACCGCTCCGCTCCGTGGGGTTTGCCAAAAATCTGTCCAACAAGCGTTTTTTTCTCGGAGAGGTTTACGCTGCTCCGTCAGACAATCGCGGAAAAAAACGAAATGTAGTAACATTTTCCCATGGAGTCACTTTTGTTTTCCCACGGAGTCAAGGTATTTTTTGTTGGGAAGGTTAAAGCTGCATCGCCGTTCCAAGCCGCTCGTCGTGCGGGAGAGCAAGTGTAGTTGTCGAGGTCGAATCTGACTGAGTGAAATTAGGGGCGTATTCGGTCGAGCACATGAGACACCTGGTGATATCAAAGTGCTAGTGAGTGAGGAATCATCTGCTGTATGTTGTACGAGTTGCAGGAATGTATGACTATGAGTCGAGGGTCCGTCGATTTGTACGGAAGCCGTGCAGTTTCGACGGATTTTTCTGACGGTGCACCGTGCGAGGCACATTATTTGACATTGCTTCCGTGGAAAGTCTGGAAGGTTCCTCGGCACAAAGTTTCGGCGGGAACCTCCCGCATTCCGCAGAAAGCGCTTTCCGTGGGAAGTATCCGGCTCCCGTGGGAGCTTTACGATGTTCCGAGAAACATCAGTTGACACTGCTGTGACGACGAACCTGCTCGCGATTAGTCTACACTCTACGCAGCCATGATGAAATACGTTGCTTGTCAATCGCGTGTCCGGCTGCGTTTAGTTGCGTCCGTGCAATTAATGACACGCCTGGCACAGTATTTTGTGCATATATTATACAAGTACACGTGACAAGTTTCGAGAGAATAATGTTGAAGTCGTTATCGCCTGTACGGTATTATTCTCGACACGTGTGATTGCTTGATGTTCCTTGGATAGGTTTGGCTCCAGAGCTCGATAATGGGCCCGCACATACCCTGCCGTCTCGCTCTGCCCCTTCGTGGAATTGTCCCCTCTGCTACTTGGGAGAGCTGCCTCTCCGTTTCGCTCTGTTTCCCTTCCTAATCTCTGGTACCCACTTCACATGTAACTGTACATTCTACACCACCACTTCTCCCCCGGACTTACCGCGTACGGCCGAGCCTTTCGCACTAGACTAATGCGTGTGCGTGAACATTTTGCACTCGATGCATTCAAAAGGACACGAAGGCGTACGTACGTACCAGATCACGCCACAAGCCAAACAATGGTGCAACATCCGTCATGAAAATCGGCGGTGGTGGCTGCAGCAGCACCCCTTATTTGTTCGTATGCCTCGTCGCAACACAAGACTGCAGCACCACCGGCCACCCCACGCTCTCTGTACGTACAGCTACGGTTGGAGCGTTATCGATGGGGAGTGTGCGGAGGAGATCCGGCGTGTATCTACTGCTGTACATTTAGATGCCCAAACGCGACTGATTGAATTTCTCTACACCACGCGTACGTGACAATGTTCACATTCAGAGGCGGAGACGTTTGTTTGTGATTAGACTCGACCGTTCGTGAAACTGGCGAAGTGGTTCAGCGGCGCGGAACGACAGAAGGTGCAATATGCCAAGTGCGCGAAATGGTGATGAAATGTGAACGAGCAATCGGTGGACACGTTCACTTGACCGTAGGTCCGATTCCGATGTGGAGTGAATCCTCAGGCAGAGTTCGCCGTGGGTGTGTTGCTTGGTCTTCGAGTAGGACAAACCCAACCCTTTCGGTTACTGGGTGCCCAGATAGGAACCATCGTCCCTGTGTATTGGGGGAAACTACATGTATCTGGGCGGCCGAAACTATGTGAGCTGCGCGTCGGAATCGGTTGAATCAACGTTGAGGCCACTCATCATCTTCTTCAACCTCGTTCTGCAGTCAGGCGGATACTACATACAAACGTCTATCAGATAAATACGACCTTTATCGACAGTCCTCGATAAACACGACCTTTATCGACAGTCCTCGATGGTGTGGTGGCGAAGGCCGAAAAACATTTGGGCCGGCGTTATAAACTATTATGCCACTTCTATTTTGTATTCCAGGGTTAAGTTTTCCATCCACACGTTTGGCGGTGTTTTATCTGTTTTTGTGTCCCGTACAATGGGAACACATTTCTCGCAGGTTCATGATTGAATTGAAGCACGGTTCAGTTGAATTTGTTTTTTGAGATGGTCAAGGCATGTGCCCCATGCTTGTCAGCTAACACCACCGAACGAAGCGGAGCGAGGACAGCAGCTACTTAGTATTGGTGAGTCGAGCGAGATAACTGATATGTCCGCGTTGTCCTGACTGAAGTACGGTGCTCGGGTGCGCCCTACCGTAGGTACGAACAACAACAACTCCCAAGATAAAGGACTCAATCAAATGGGCACCTTACAGGCAACGCTCGACGTGAGACTACCTGAAGGCGTAAGGAGTTGGATACCGTTTGTGTCAGATTCCAGTGTCTCATCTGTTTGTGGCACTCATCTCTGCCAAATCGTTCGTGTGGAACTGCGATCACTGCCAACAGGAAGCCTTGCTTGCCAAAGAACAGACTTCATTCCGAGGACTACGCTGACTGGCTGCTGCTGCTCCATCCCGTATCCGCAGTGGCAGCGGCCGTGGCGGTAAACTGCCGGGAAAAGTTCTCGTTCGCATTGGTCAGATGGTTTTCGAGGACAACTTGTGCCATTCCTCGTACAACGGTCTCGTGTTCCTGACCAACTCACAGGCCGATCCACCACAGGGTCGACATAAAAGTAGAATTCCTGACCCCACGCTCACGGAACTCTTTCTTAGCTCTACCGTCAAGGGCGCGCTACGGACCGCGCAGCCCGTGTGGTAGTCGGCGCTGGTTGGTACCTTGAACATGCGTCGTGGCGGGTGATGTCTTGCGTACACCATACCCAGCAGAGACAACGCCCTCTCGACAAGAACCTAAACAACAATATTCCTCGGGCAAGACATACTGACCGCCAATGCGCTACACCCACCCCCACCACTCTTCCGTCTTGTTGTGGCCCCAAGGGAAAGGCCGCTATTACTTTGCCTGTGATTCAGATTCGCGCTATTTTACGGGGTCTGTTTCCTATTTCATGATGCAGCTAGAAGACAACATTTCCACTTGAGGTGCTATCTCAATTACACCTTCGAAGCGCGTATCATGCGCACTGTCCTCCCGGGCCTCCATAAAAACAAGCACCAAGCCCTGTCATCAGGTGGGCATCCAAAATCTTGGAACGGCATAACTTCCAAGCGCGTCACCATATATTATGTACAACGATGCCCCGCCTCACCCCCCACTTCTCTCTGCTGCCGACCCATGGCACAACTGACACACATGCCGTGTCCTCCATGGTCGCATCACGTATCCGTCTGCCCCCACACATGTTTCGGGGTTTACGCCATGTGACTCCTGGGAAGCTGACAAAGTGCCTTGATTCCTTCCTAGGAAATGGGCTACCAGCTACCTTCGCAAGTGGTCGGGACCGCCTTTTTCCACCGCACTCACTGCTGTGTCGGAAGAAAAAAAAAAGGCCCAACGCGAACGCCACGAACAAGACCGCAGGCACAGCCACCGAGAGACCCAATCGCTCCTCTCGCTTCAAAAATTCCTAACATTATCAAAAACCGCTCCGGTGACGAGAGACGATCTTGAGGGGGGTCTGGCAAGTTCCCTACAAGGCGACTGACCCCCTACTTTCGTAGCGGCAGGACAGATGCCGGAACCATATGGCTAGCCATCGAGGGGAAGAAGGCCGCACCGCCGCCCACGGCAGCCGCTACCGGCGAGCGCAGGACTGACTCAACCTCTATCGGGGAGGTGTCGGCCTTCTCATAGTACTTGGGGTTCATAGGCCTGATCGTCGAGTGCGCGACTGCCGCCACTCCCTGCGTCATTATGCAGGCGGCAGGAGGATGGGAGAACGGACGGGCCGAGAAACCACAAAACAACTATGAGAAAGAAAAAAAAGAGTTTCGCTGCTCAAATATTTCATGAAAAATACCTTTCTTGTACCTCCAAACCAAACACGCTTGGAAATAAGGCACCTAGTATTCGAAGGTGGAGTTGTACGTACAAGAAAGGACGAACCAGATGCTGCACTCTCGCTCGAAAAAAGCACCGCATGGTCGAAGCAATGGCCGATCAATCGGGGGCAAAATTCTCCGTCAATTTTCACTCACCATCAGGCCAGCCATCGTGTACAGGGTGGAGTCGTAGATGAAAGGGGTTGGGTCGGGGGTGCCCGCAGGGACGAGTTCCATCAGCTTTCCGATGGTCAACGCCTTGGACTGCGATTCGAACCACCCGCGCGCGCAAAAACCAAGGATTAGGGTTAGGGCTAGGATTAGGGTTAGGGCCCAGAATAGCAAGGGGGCGCGCGATGAATATACTCCAAACGTTTCAGCTTCCTCAACACTTCTTACGCAAAGCCTCACGGTCTACAGCGCTATTCTTCTCCGCAGAGGATGCTAACTCCTGGCGCAGCACCATACACCCCAAATCGGGCCCAGTACCGAAACTGCTTGCTCGATCGTGGCCAACAGAGACGCTGTGAACTCAATAGGAGTTAGGCGTCCTCTGCGGAGTGAGGGTCTACGTGAGGATCTACACCCCAACAATGGTACGTCCAGCAACACCGAAACATTCCTCCTCCTCCTCGAAAAATCGCCCTAGCGTCAAGGGCACCAAATTTAGGGCACCCCCCGCTCTAAGGGACAAGATTATTTTTTCCTTTAGAAGCATGGGTGCCCCACAGAGCGAAAAGACAAAGGGGGTGCAATGCCAAGCACACTTTTTCCCCGCTGTAAGGACACTTTTTTGTGAAAAGAAAGAACATCAGTTGCCCTACTGCCAAGACCGCGCTGCAAGACTGAGGCCTTGATTTCGTGGGAAGACCAACACCGCCACAACGCCAGCGAGACGCTGCCGATAGCACCACGCTGTTCCGAGTGCAGTCGTTCTCTTATCCCTGGAGGCAGCAGCCTTTGTGTGGGTGAAAATAAAGAGACAATGAGATAACAGCCCGTGTGTGCGTGAAACAAAACAGAGAGAGACAAGGAGCACTCACGTCGATCAGCATCTGAGCGTCTTCTACGCCCGTGTTGAACATCTTCTGGAATCGGGCCGGGTCCACCTTCTCCAGGAGGTCGTTGATCGCGCTCATCTCGCTCGAGCTGCGCAAGCTCAGGATGAAGCTCGGTCCAAACAACGCCGCCGCTGATGTGGAGGCCATGAGTCGCCCGTGGATGGGACCAACGTACTTGGTGCCTGTTCGTGGAGACAAAAGCCCGGGGGGGGGGGGGGGGGGGGGGGGGGGGGGGGATAGGGGAGGAGGGGGGGGGGGGGGGGGCGGGGGGGGGGGGGGGGGGGGGGGGGGG